AAAGAAAATGAACAGAATTTAATCATAAAACGTATAATTAATGATTAACAATTAAATGCTAATTATTGTGTAATACAAGTAAAATTAATTAAATAGATTTTTTATTGTCATTCAGTAAATATACTCAATTAAAAAATAAACTTGAAATCGAATAACACTATTAGATCATTATATTTGTTAGTCATAACAAGCGTATAGCTTCTTTTTTTTCTACTCTTATTAACTTGTTGAACACCTGTTGTTTAATTAATCCTCATCGATTTTAGTTTAAAGCAAATAAATAAGTCTGAGTTTATAGAAATTTCATATAGAAACTATAAATAATATCAATAAAATTATTTAATAATAATAAACATAAATTTTCCAAAGCTTTTGTATTATATTTATAGGAATTATTACAACTATATAATCATAAAATAACCACTAATTGCCTATGAAACACCAGCGCATCATAATTAAATTAAATAAGTAAATAGGTTGTGGAATATAACAGTAAAATACGTAATTCGAATGTAACATAAGTGAATAACTAATTAACATGCACACTAATTATTCGATTAATTAAAAAAAAGCAACGGATAAAGAAGAATTATTAAATTCTCTTGAGAATATATTATATTTTGGCACAATTAAAACATAATTAACGTAATAATTAACAATTCATCAAAATAATTTTTAGAAAATTAGATTTGAGAATTTATAAGTACATTTATATCTCAATTAACGTTAACTTCGTATTTTTTTACATATTTCTTTTATTTTACTATGAATTAATTACTTTTTTTAATTTTTATATTTTTATATAATATAATTTTTGATACAAATTATATTATTTTAATTGGAATTTTATTTTTAATTACTTGGAGTAATTTCTCTCGTTAGAAACAAATGAATACTGATTTGTTTTCTTCTCGGAAAAGAATATATTAGTATTGCTTCTTTACTTGCTGGTATATTTCGTATGAATGGAATATTGTATATTGTCAAATGGAAATATTTTACTGAAGATTGATGGAACAACCCATTAAATAAATTACATCGTCTCTACATTCCAATAATATCTTCATTAAAGTTTCTAGTGGATAATCGTTTTCTTGGACAAAGCCACTTCTAGGCAGGAAATAAATAAGGCGATTTTTCAATGAACTTTTACAACAACAACAACAACAATGTTAATTCTGCTTAGAAGATCTAGAATGCTTTTACTTCATTTTGTTTTCAAACTTTCTGAGTCAATATAATTGATAATAGCTTTTTTTATAGACAATTTTTCAATGAATTCTTAGATCTGAAAAATACAAATTATTATTTCCCTAATTTTGACCTAATTAGATTTATATCTTTTAATTAACTTATTTCATATTTAAGTAATTAAAAAAAAGTGCGTCAAAATTAATAATTACAAAAATAAAAGTTTAAATTTGTTGCAAGAAAATTACGAATTGTTAAATCTTAAATGTAAAGTAGAGCATAATACAGTTAATGTACAAAATATAAGTCGATTGAATTTAGAGAAAGTGTAATCAATTCAGAAAAAAATAATAATAGAAATTTTCTGTCCGTCAAATATGGTTGGAAGTAATTAAAATTTTTGTTCAAATTTGTTCTGAGACAATTTAATACAAATTTGACACAGGAAAATTTTTACAGGAGAAGAAAACAACATATGTATTATTTCGAGTATAAAATATTTGCAAGTGAAAATCAATAGTTATGGACATTTTGTAATACAAGAATAAAATGTAAAGGAATAAAATGAAATAAATAAATCAATATGTACTTACTTTGGCAGAAATAAATTCATTCTCGCTTTCATTAATTCCAAAAAAGAAAAAGTTCACCGCGGATCGAAATCTTTCTAAAAATAATTTATTCGTATTGAACGAAAGGAAATAAAACAGAAACGAAGACAGCACAGAACACTGAATGTCAAATAGCGAGAGAGAAACAACAAGCAACGTTGTTAATAATGTTTTTCTTTCACACAGCGACAGCTCACAACAACGTCAACAACAACAAAAAGAAGAGAGATAGTAATACCGAACTGTACTGAAATCGTGTTCGGAACTGCTCCAGTTTGCAAAGTTGCGTAACTTACATGGGAAGTTCCGAGCGCAACAGTTGGTGGTTCGTAGATCGAGGAACACTCACTGAGTAGTGGAAGTACCGAAACTGAAAGGGATGTCAGCAGGATAAGTCAGTGAAAGCTTCCTAGAAGGACGTGTTACTTTATGTTTGTGTTAAATCTCTCCACAGGGTTTTCTTTTATTTTACTTGTACATCTTCTTTTTTTTGCTGCTGTTACATTCGTCCTTCTCCTTTTTGCATCCGGCCGTAAATTTGCATCCCTTCGGGTTGTTGCGCAACGCAGCGGCGGCCGAAAAGGATTACGAGCGTGCAATAAATCCGTACATCTCAAGGGCCTTTCCTCCATTTTCATTTCGCTTTTAATGGGGCAAGAAAAAAATAATGGAGAGTGGAAGTCTCTCCGCTCCTTTTGTCCGTTTCAATTTTATTTTCGCTTTTTCTTCTTCTCTTCTTTCTATCGCCGTTGTTGCCGTCGTCTTCTTCCTTTCGGAATCTCTCTCTTTCTGCGAGTGTTTACTTCAACTTGACACAAATCGGAAAAGGAAACGGGTTACGTCAGACGTCGTTGCATCAGAGAACGCTCGCGTTCACAAATAAGACGGACGGTTTTCCGATGCGAGGAATTATTTGTTTCTTTTTTTTTTGCTACAACTTATTATATATTATTATTATAGGTCACAAACAACACCATCAGTACCATATATTTATATTCATATATATATAATTGTTGTATACATAAATTTGACATCCATAAAAAAATGTTTGTTCCTCCAATAAATACTAATTTGTATATAAATAAATTTCTTCAAAAATTCTATAATTAAATACATCCTTCACTTCTCCTCCTTCTTTCAATTACCCCAAAATCTCAACCATAATACGCACAATTTGCACCCATTTCATTCCTCAATAAACGGGAATTGAATCTATCTTTGAAATTTGAGTTAGATTTTACATTATTTATACTAATCAATTTGATTCCTTGCATCTTTGACATTTTCGATTTTTGTTTTTATTAAAACAAATAAAAATTCAAATAAACATTTGCTTGCGCATATTAAATTCAAGATTTTAGATTAATTCATATATTTTTTTTTTGGAAATTTTCTTTTTAGTTTTCTTTTTGATCGTTTGTTGGCCCTTGGGAAATTGTTTCTTTTTTTTTTCAACAATGTTTTTTTTTTGCTTCACTAGAACTTAATATAAATCAGCGAAAGAGAGAACTAAAAGACTAGGAACGAAAACAGAAAGGTAATGTTGTATAGTTTCCGATGAGCATTAGTACAGTATATAAGTAAGCTATAATTAACATGTAGACAGGAAATTCACATTTAACATCTAATTAAAAGAGAGGAATATCGGCGAACAAGTAATTGTTTTGTTTGCGAAAGGAATCACTTGTCGGCTCGTTTCCTCTCTGATACAGTCTTACTACATTTAAACATTAATCTCTTCTAATTCCCATACACTTATTCCAATCGTCCTGACAGGATTCAGACTTTTCATCGCCGCTGATTCATTAATTATTCATTATCCTTAGGTTTAAATCAGAGAGTCGAACCGAAATTTATTTTGTTACGGTTTACAATTACGTTTCAAGTAAATGTTTATCGTTCCAGATTCGGTTTCGGTTCAGTTCCGGTTGAAATTAAAATTTAAATTGGTTTAAAATCGAGTCCAATATCAAATTTTGATTTAATTCCATTTACCAAATTTCCTTACTATTGAAAATACAAAGGAAATAAAAATTAATTAATGACTATTTCAACACATGCACTTTTTAATCACTTTTATTTGAGTTTGTTTTAATATTAGTAACGCAAGACTTGTGCTTGCCCTTTCTTTTTAAAATTTTCTGTTTTTAGTCGGTGGTTGATTGAATAATTTTTTGTTCCGGTTACGGTTGCGGTTCAGTTAAAAATTCCGGTTAATTTCGGTTCGACTCTCTGGTATAAATCAAGTATTGTTTCTCAAGATAAAATCATTAATCAATTTGTTCATCAATAATTCTAATTTACAACATATCACAGAATGATAGAACATTAAATAAAGCGCAGTGCGCTTATATATTGAAATAACACTAAGAAATCTTCGCATCTCGAATGTTAATTAAATTAATTATAACATTTCATTAACTCTACCACAGATAATCTGCTCCCTTTTTCTTATACTAAAAATTAAAAATATATTGCGATTTATTTTTCAAGCACATATAAATTATTTAAACTCCGACAAGTTAACTACAATCTTGTAGTTCTGTAGTGTCTCAACCAATTAAATATCATTATATAAGAAATATATGTTACTTAATTAATAATAGCTAATTATATTTATATAAATAATATTATATATTATTTTTAAAATTTGCTGAAAAACATGTTTTATGATTTGTTTCTTTCAGTAATTATAGAAAATTAAATTGCTAATAATAAATACAAAGAATCACAAAACTTGACGATAGTTGAATCAAATCCTATATTACGTTTTAAACGAAATTTAGTTAATATATAGATTTAAAAGCGGTGAAAAAATATTAAAAAAATATAGAGTTAATCTAAGTTAAAAAATTGGATTAAATTTGATTAGTTGTTTAAAATCACTATGTAATTACTTGAAATCTATGAAGATTAATGTTGATGAAACTGTGGCGATGAAAGATCCTAGACACCAGGTCCTGATAAAATTCATTGTTAAATTGACACCTAGAATATAAAACATCGATCTTTGCTTATACTAAATATGTTATAAAATCGTGCATTAGGATATCGATTTTTATTGTTTGCTTCGAACAAACCTTAGTTACTTAGAATATAAAACATCGATGCAACTTTTTGTTTATATTTTGTTTAGTAAATAAATATCGTCATTCCTGTTCGATAATATTCTTTGTTTCAAACAAATTGACACCTGGAATTTAAAAACAATGATCATTTTATTGAATAAATAATCTTATATAATCAATCCTACGTTGGAATCTCATCGATCGCTGTCCCTGGTGATTTTTATTGTTCATTTCAAACAAACGGACATCTCGAATGTACGTAAATAATCGATCCTTTCGTTTTACAACTATAACATCTCGTTCTTTAACTACCATCGTTCAAACACTAACCCTGCATATTCCGAACCAATAGAAACGTATAAATAAATATTATGCGCGCTTGGCTTTACATTTTTATCACAAATACTTGGGTCACTCCATTACCTAGAACACAGATCGCAGCTAAGCATAATCCGTCATAGGAGTGGCCTAAGTATTAATCCTAAATTATATAAATATAGACACTTATAATCTTTAGAAATTAGTTTTCTTGTTATGGACACTTATTATATTATTATTTGAGTATAATTAGAGAACATTGATAAGCATTTAAATGTATTTGCTTAGGGCCATGTGGAACTCCTGGAGGTAGGATAGCAATTGAGCAAAATTGGGCCTTTCGATTGGATTGGACAGCCAGCAGCATGTCATCACAGCGTAGCTGTAAATGAAATATTAATATTGTTAAGGTAATGATTGTGGAGGCTTTACAGTTCATCTGGTGAGGCTACTGGCTGCTGTAGACGGTATCCGCTACCTAGGTAAGATGCAATCTCGAATGGGTCGATGTCTTCGAAAGGCTGATGAGCTAAAGTAGTCAGTTCCCAAAGTACCACGCCGAAGGACCACTACGAATCGGTGTTACATCAGAATTCCCTAAGGGTTTTGATAACTTACCACATCCGAGGCGCTGGTGAAATGTTTGTGTATTAAACTCTCAATGGCCATCCATTTGATAGGACGGTTTTCATTGTCACCAAGGCAGGCGTAATCAGCCGGAAATAAGTCACGGGCTAAAGAGTTGTCGGTGATCTTCAGTCGCATCTTCTCATCAATCCTAAATAATTTCACTATAAACAAATGTCCTGTTTGAAAGGCAATCAACTTACACGCAATTACGAGTAGCCAAATCTTTGTAGCAGATGCATTGGCTGTGCAAATACATGACGCCTAGGACAATCTGCACAGCCATATCAACGAAGTTCCGCGTGGACAAGCGAAAGGGTTTCTCTTCCCTCTGTCGGCACTTAATTAGAAATCTAGAGCGTTGCGAGTGAAAAAAAAAACATATATAGAAGTAAAAGGGAAAAAGGAATTGCTCCAAACGTTTTATTGCGCGCCATAATTGACTTCGTACCTTTTCAAATTGCCTCTGTTGGAGAAAGGGTATATCAGTAGGGGCCTCCTAGCGTTGTCGGTATTTACACCGATTATTGGTAGGATGTTTTTGTGGACCATTCCGAACATTATTGTCCCTTCGGCGAGGAATACGGACACTTGCAATTTGGATGCGGCATCTACATGGGAAAGACAGAGAGAGAGAAAGAAAGAATAAAATGAAGAGCAAAAAAAAAGAAGAAATAAAGATGAGGACGGATGATGGCATGTTCTTCCTTTACTTTTTTTAATGTTACATTTACCGGTCACTGTCTTCACGGTTACGGTTTCGTGAGCTCGCATTCTACCGCGATAAATCTGGCCGAAGGTGCCCTCTTGCGACAATTCCTCCAAGATCACAGTTGGCCGGGTTGCCGCCAGTACGCGAATCCTGTCGGTTGGGTCACAGTATCTAGGATCCTGTAGCGCCATCTAGAAGCAGGATTGATATCCGGTATAACAAAGAAATTGTAAGGGAGTCGCGATAACGAAATCATCCCTTGAGACTGAATCAACAGCAGTGTCGATTCATCACATATACAAAAAGCAATCCAATCCCATTGTCACAAATCTCTAAATGTGATAGTATATTTAACAGTTCCTTCCTATTTCAGCAATCCAGGTATTGGTGAAGAAACCATCACAATATTTGATAAATACAATGTAAATACTTTGTCACAACGAGCAAATATACTACAATATATTGTTATGGACAAATATTTTCAATAATTGTAACAATTTCAGAAATATTGACTTTCAGCATTTTAAAGATTAATTTCAATCATAAAATTGTATTTACAATTGTAAATTATTCTAATGTTACAAAAGTGTTTATTTTTCATAAATTTGTAAAAAATATTCTTTCTTTATTAATAAATAATTGATATTTTATTTTGCATTTTATTTGAAACGCAAAATAAATAGTTATGAAAATTATATTTGATTTTATTAATTAATATATTGTGATTGCTTTAGTTTTTAGAACAATAGTTATAAAAACTGGATTGCGTTTGAAGCCTTGATCCGCCACTGCTCAACAGTTATTTACTTTGGATTGTTGGCCTTATCGCAATCTCGCACGACCCCATCTAATCTTCGTCTCCATTCAATCAAAGTGCCAAAAGGAGTCACCCTCTTGGGGGGTCGTGCGAATTAATTGGACCGAGACGAGGATCAAATGCGTGTTTTTCCCTCGCGAAAGAACGGGAAACAACAAACAATACCCGGTGATCAGAAATGCTTACCTGCGATAGGAGCATCACTTGTGAAGACGCGTAATAGGAAACCCTTGGGTTGTCGCTAGTGGCGTACGGTGAGGGTGAGGGTGGGCTCTTGTGGAGGCTGGCGATAGTCGCATAACTTCCGCTTCCTGGGCTCGAAGTTCGTCCGACCGTCGAACCCAGACGCACGAAGACGTGCTGATTGCTATCATATGTTGCATTCGCATAGCTGATGATAAAGAAATAATCGTATTAAATTTTGTAATGAAGGGATGGTTGGAATTGTTCGGAATGTTTACGGTCTGGGATCCCGTTTTACGGGGGTCGCTGACAATAAGAATTCAATTGAAAAGAAGCTTACGCAGATTCACGGGTATTCTCTTTCTTAGTTTTGATGCAGATTGCTGACGCTATTATGACAATGAGTGTTATCATGGTGACTGCACATCCTGCGGCTATGTACAAGGAGTTCGTCGATGTTGAAATACCGTTCGGATCCAGTCGGATGGTTTCCAAGGGCGGTTTCACTCCTGCAAAAAGGAATGTACGTCTCCTGTTCAAATGGAAAGAGGGTGACGAGCTTTTACTCGATATTAATGGATCATTCTTGGTAAACAGAATTCGTATAGAATACCCAATATTGTAACCGAAACGGGAAAACTTTTTTCAATTTCCACATTCAACACTACACGAAACTTTTACAGCATTTCTGACATTACAATTTGTCGACTAGAGCATTATATAATACACAATATAAACGTTTTATTTGATTGTATAAAAAAAACTTTTCATTATATAAAACTGATATGATTCAAATTATAAATAGTATTTGATCTAATTCATTTTTTATTTACAAAAACAAAAGCCTAAGATCATTATACCAAACATTTGCTATTTGAATATAGTCTAATACCTTTTGCATGAACGAAATTAGTTATAGAATAGTTTATAAATGAAACGAAACGAAAATATTCGAATGGGGCTTCGAACAATCCGGTTTGAAAATTTTATTATACATAAATGCATGCTTTCTTTAGATCAGTGGTTTCCAAACTTCAAGTTACTACGCCTCCCTCAAAAGTATGTAAACATTTGGCGCCTCCCCTTTCATAAAAGGAACGCGCATTGCAGCAATATGGATTCCCCAAAAATTCAGCTATCATATGCATCTTTTGGATTAATTCTATGTATTATAGTTTTCGAGAAAATCAATGAAATGTAAAACCACTGCTTTTTCGAGCATTTTTTAAACTTTGAACACGAATTACAGCTAAACGGCTAAAACCACAGAAATATATCGATACTTGCTGTATTCCCCAAACATTCAGCTTTCATATGCATCTTTTGGATTATCAATGAAATGTGAAAACACTGCTTTTTC